CAAAAGAAGGAAAACCCAACTGAATATGCAGCATGTGCAATATATATACGCTTTAGCGGCTGTTAAAAAAGTAAAACACATAGAATTGTCGTTATAAGTTAGTTAGTTTTTTTTTTTATAAAAGTTTTGTTTAGTATAATGAAATGATTAAGTATAATTATTTTGGCACATAATGTGCTTTGGAATAAAATAAATTGTTTTTGTTATGTTTACAGTGAATACATAATACATATATATATAAGTATATAATTTGTTCTTTTCTTTTCAATTATATTGATCGCTCAATTCGCCATTCATTGGAACTGGTTCATTCTCTTGCTTTTCAATGACCTGCAATAAATGTCCATTTCCAGGGATCTCTTTCCAATTTATGGCTGATCCCTGCACGTAAATCGTGAGTTTCGTTTGTTTGTTGTTATTGGTCAGCCAGTCAAGTGCTTCTGACACAAACTCCTCTGTCAGCAGTTGACATTCGCGCATATTCAAGATCTCCAAGTGGGGCAAATCCTTTATAAGTTCCATTACCTCTGCATTTGTGATGGAGGGCATTTTTATATGAAGCGACTTCAGCTTCTGCAGTTTGAGCAAGTGCTCAAGCGGCACTTCTCTACACCACACACAGAAGTTTTCCAGGCTGAGCTGGAGGGTGTTACAAATGCTCTCAACCTGGCTAGTCGTCAGATATGCGCCTTTGATGGAGAGGCTTTCAATCGTGTCCCCTGGTTTCTTTGCCAGAGCATCCAAAAATTCCTCTTTTAAAGAACTGTGAATCCAAATATATAAATGCTTCAGTTTTTCCAATTTCAGGACTTTCTCGTATGGCACGCCTCTTATTAGGGGCACACCATACTCAAAACTTATCAAATTCATAAATTTGTCGACAACAGGCTCCACATAGTCCTCAAAGTGCTTCCTCTTCTTTTGAACAATTAACATTTCGCGATATTTGTCGTTCATCGGATCAGCACAAGCCGGACATTCTTTCCGTAATTCATCATCCCGTGGCATTGAAAAAATTTGTACTATCGGGCCAACGAGAACAAGATCGTTGACACTCAAACGACCCAGTTTTGTTGTATCGACGAAACGAAAAGATGTCTGCCCAGTATTACGAAATTTATTGGTTGTTCTTGATAAATAGAATTTTCACAATTTTACCTTGAGTAAGAACAAAAGACAAATCCAAAAGTGCGTTATTTGAACTAAGTCACTGAAATACATTGCTTCTCAACCGAACACGCCAACGAATCAAGAAAGACTACTGGTAGCGAAATTATGAGAAATTACGTCAACAATTCTTTAGAGATAAAACGACCGAGCGCGCAAGCAGCAAGATTGCAACTGACTCAGTGATCGCTTTGAGGCTTCGCTACACCGACGTTATTCAGTTCGGTGAGAGGCTCTCTAAATTTGCGATATTGTTTTTAACTTGAGCGAGTAAGAGAAAATGGCACGATGGAAAGAGAATCAAAGTAGAAATTGATAAATATGTACATACAGTGACGAACTAAATTATTGGCCCAGCAAGGTTTTTAAATTTTTATAGCAATATTTTAAGTGTTTTGAAACGTTTTTTTTTAAGAAACAAAAAGTTAACTAAGTAGAATAAAGTATTTATTATGTTATATTCCAAAGCACAAAACCTCTAGTATTTGAAATGCGCTTCAGGTCTAAATGTGTGCGAATGAGGCTGAAAAACCCCTGATTTCCCATTTTCAATGGGTTCAAGGTATAAAAACAACGAAACTTCAAGGCTT